GGGGGGGGGGGGGATTCTGAATGAAAATACCAAGATTTTACTTAAAATGAGCTTGAATATTAACATTGTGTACTTATGAGAACTTTGAATGAAGTTGGCTCTGTCTTGTATGCTGTTTTTAATAGTTAAGATGATTATCACTATTCCCAATCCCATTTCTATCGTCATCATCCCCATCTTCAGCCACATTTTGTTTTAAAAAATCCCATCGGGTGCTCTGGAGTGATTTGCTCCTTCTTTTTCATCAAACATCTATCGTTCTTATAATTTCTCCTTCGTTTTTCTTCATTTTATGAAAATACGTTTGATACTTTCTGGTAACACCTCTAATCTTCGGTTCTTATATTCTTACGACCTTACTGTGTGGCAAGTACCGTAAAATGTTTGCTAAAACTAAGAAATCCCACCGAGATTGACCTGTACCTGCATCGACGTCATAATAAAAAACCCACCTCAGAATTAGGTACCGACTCCAAACGTAGACTTACCATGAAGTACTTGATCTGTACCAAGATTTCAGACTGCACATTGGTTTACATGTGCTCTGGTGTGGTTTGCTTCTTCTTTCCTATCAAACATCTATCGTCCTTATCTCTCTTCTTTCTTTTTTGTGTTTGTTACTCTCTTGTAAAACATCTAATCTTCTGCACTTATATTATTACCTTACTGTGTTGCCAGTACCGTAAAACTCTTACTATCAATTTTTTAAAGACAGCGCATTACCAGCAGTTTTGCATGACGTAGCACGTCATTTCCGACGGTTTAGCGATAACAATATCATGTGACGTCAACCCCCCCAACCACTCACCTTTCAGCTAGTTGTCTAGAATCTAGAGTAATGTTTCTTAATCTTCTGGAGGTAATGAACCTCTCAAGTTTCATACGTGCATTCCCCAAACCCTTCGAGTGGAGTGAAAGAAACAGACAGATAGACAGACATGCACACACACGCACACACATACACACACACATACACACACATTTATACACTTGACCTCCCGATTCCACTGAGCCCATGAGACTAAATCAACCAGCCCCTAGGGTTCTTGAGAGGGTGTGGGGGGATGGGCTCAGTCGATTGGGGGGGGGAAGGGGGGTGGATGGGGTCAGTCGAACCCAGGTTAAGCAAGAACCCTTGGTCCACGATGTCCATGTTTAAGTGCCTGATACACTGTCTTCTCTTTGTTCGCGTTCTGGTACGGTGGGATTTCCAGAAACTTCGATCAAAGCCTGCCACACTGACACCCAATCCCGTTTTGCGTTTTCTCTCTCTCTCTCTCTCTCTCTCTCTCT